CATGCTAACCGTATAGAATATGGTGATTATTTGATGTTCAAGCTGGCCAGTGCTAATAATTTCGTCTTCTTTCACTTTGACGAAAGTCGGTGCCAACAAAATCGCTTAATTAGGTGGAATAATGTGTTGGAAATGGCTGGCTGCGCGCCTAGATTGCTGGACACAGACCGATTCGTGATTTATTTGCTGAACCCCGATAGCAACACTTTGGTAAACGACTTGTTCAACTATTCTGATATTACTTGCTTGTTTATTTTTTCGAATTTGTTTCTACTTCATCAATTTAAAGTTATCAACATTCATTTTTTCTAGAATCTCCCGCGTGCCATTTGCCGGGTCATAAAGGATTTTGTTCCGCTACAATGCACCCTGCAGAACAATGAAAGTGATGATGCCTTCAAATGGAGAGTTGTGATTGACCGTGTTGGATCCAACATTGCTTTCGCAGATGGCTGGGTCGATTTTGCCAGAGATAATAATGTGCAGCGAAGGGAGATGATGTGTTTCCAACTGCGAGGTCCAAACACATTCATCGTCTATCATTTTGGCACTGATGGTTGCAGGAAAGAAACCAGAACTGCGGTTGGATTTGGCATGCCTGATGATGAAAGCAGTGATGATAGTGTTGGAAACTAATTTGTAATGGTTTTGAATTTTGTGTTTGATGTGTTTGATGTTTGGTGAAGGTTGAATATTGATCTTAATTTTATGTTTGTAGTGCTGATGGTTGATTAATGAAAACTTTTTTTTTATTATTATTATGTCATGAAAATTTTTTTTTTTTTTTTTTTTAATTAATACTTATCTTTTTGTCTATGGATGAATATGATTTTTTGATGCAATGTTAGTTTTATGTATTGCAAGGTTAGTTTTATGCTCTTGCAAGGTTAGTTGTCTGATAATGCTACGTTAGTAGTTCGTTGTTGCTAGGTTAGTTGTGTGATGTTGCTAGGTTAGCTGTCTGTTAGTGCAATGTTACTTGTCTAGTAGTGCTAGGTTAGTACTATGTTGTTGCTAGGATACTTACCTCTATTTGTTAGGTTAGTTATAGACACTGCAAGTTTAGTTTTGTGATGCTGCAACGTTACTTGTATGTAGGATGCAGTCTCAATAAGCTAAATTTTGCAATGTTAAATCAACATTTGTTTTCTTAATTATTATTATTATGTAATCAACATTTTTTTTTTAATTAAGATTTATTCTTTTTGTTTATGGATGAATATGATTTTTGATGCAATGTTAGTTATATGATTTTGCAATGTTAGATCTAAGAGGTTGCAAGGTTAATTTATGTTGTTGCAATGTTAGTTGTCAGATAACGCTATGTTAGTATTCTGTTGTTGCTATGTTAGTCGTCTGTTAGTGCTATGTTAGTTGTCTGTTAGTGCTAGGTTAGTAGTCCGTTGTTGCTAGGTTAGTTTTATCCTGCTGCTACAATAGTTATCTGTATCTGCTAGTTTAGTTAAATATCTCTGCTA